CTTAGCTAATTTCTTGGCAAGGATATACGTCATAGGCAATGATGTGCACTTTTTATTGCTTCAAAGTTTGAGGCTCTTATCAGGTTGTCCAACTTTTGGTGAGTCTAAATTTGATCACTTGTTTTAGAAGATGACTGTGATTCTTTTATTATAAAAGCTATGGCTTTGTAATTGATGTCATCTGTAGGCTAATATTTTGAGAGTTTCAAATATGTTGTTCTCCAAAACTTTTCACCTAATGACTTTACCATTGATTGATGATTCTTGCCTGCATTAGTTATTACATTGGAATTGAAAGATGCATTATTTTTCTCATTCTGTGATTTCTTCTATACTTATGAAGCAGTATATTTTGTAAACACAGTCATCTGCATGGTATACATGGGGGATTGGTTCTAGGAACCAGAGGATGCTCAAGTCCCTTATGTAAAATGACATCGTATTTGCATATAACCTATGCACATCATCCCATACACTTTAAATTATTGCTAGATTACTTAGAATTCCTAATACATCACATTACTTTATTTGTGAATTTACTTCATAGTAAAATCAAGTTTTGTGTTTTGGAACTTTGGGAAAATTTTTTGATCTGTAGTTGGTTGAATCTACACATGTGGAACCCACAGATATGGAGGGCCAACTGTGTAAGCTTTTCTATTTCCCTTTTATTGCTTCTCTCTCTCTCTCTCTCTCTGTCACTCTCTCAATCAGATGACTTAGGACATTTTTATGACTGTTTATAACCCATAAACCTCTTCAAGAACAACACTGCTCTTTTGAATCCCACTCATTTTAGAGAATTTCTGTGCTTTCAGACACAACAGAATATCCCAGATTGACCTTGTCCTGTCCCAAACCGGCAATCAAGCACTTTTGTAAGGAGAGGGATCTCTGGTTCCTTTTAATGAGGAATGGAATTTAGAAACCAAGATCTGGGTGCTATTTTCACTCATTGTTCTTGAGATGCAATGAGTTATTGATGCAATTAGCTTATTGATTTTTCAGTCTTTTTTCTTCTCTATCAATTTTCTTGTAAGTGTGGGGTTGGCTATATCCCCAAAGTTTTGAAATAAAGTATTTCATTACACTCACTTTAAAATATTTTCTAAATTGCTACTGTGATTTCTTCTTTGAGATACAAGTTTTTAGAGAAGATTATTACTTAATTTCCAAATCTATGAGGATTTTCTGGTTTTCTTTCTGCTGTTGTGTTATTTTAGTACTTTGTTTTCTTTTTCAGATTCACTTCACCTTTATTATGAACAAACACAATCTCAGATTAGTACAATTAGCTTCAGAGTTGATATTAATAGAAATTATTGCAAAATTATTCTTGTCACAAGTAACTACTATCCCACATAAAAAGGGAAAAATCCCACCCAATCAAAAGTATCCTCTGTATGTTTCCATGGCAATGTGTTGTTTATGCATTCTCAATTTTTTTCTGGCTAGTTATCCACCACTTCTCCAATGGATTCATTCCATCTCTTGGAGAACCATATAGACTAATGACAGCATCTGGGACACATGGACATATCAAGATCATGGTGGACATTGTTATTATAAAAACTACTCGGGTCTTGAGAATTCCTGTGCTGAAGGATCCCAAAATGCTTTATAAACAGTATTAGTCACGTCTCCAAACTGCCCTTTGAGGTAGGTCAGTATTATTATCCCCATTTTAACAGAAGGAAAACTGAGGCACATTATAGTTAAGTGACTTGCCCAGGGTCACATAGCAAGTCAGTGGCACAGTGGTAGGAGAGGCCCTGGCCTTAACCACCAGCATAACATGGCCACCTCCCTTTTTTAACCTTTCATGATGACCTATTTGAGCTACACTTACAGAGAATACACTCAAGATACTAGCAAACCAAGGAGAAAATTTTCCATTTTAAATGCTACAACCATCTTTTAACCTAAAATAAATTATAAATCAAATACATTCAAATTACTTCCACCCTCCATCAAATGTGGGCACTTAAGAAAAGCAGCCCTAACAAAAGTTTCCAGAATGAATCCCAGAAGGGAATCCTGCAAATCACGATACTGTTAATCCTCCACTCAGGTCCCTTTTTCTACAAGCCACTTCAGTAGGCTCTCAGGTGCAAAGGGATTCCACAGAGGGAGTGAGGGCAGGCTCATATGAAGCACTGTGATTAGAAAAGATGTAAGGCACCCGGGTTAAGTTGTCAGCACACCACCAAAGCAAGGACTGTTAGAAATCCAGACTCTTGATCAGATCTGAGCTTATCATTAATGTGTCACTTGAACTGAGCTTTAGAATCTTGAAAATAGTGTTCCTTACTCAGCAGACACACCCCCACCCCCATCCCCACCCACACCCACACAAACACTGGGGCCCTCAGCCTGAGGTGCCATCCAGCCTGATGTAGGGTCATGGTACAGATCAGATCAATGGCACATGATTACAATAGGAAGAAGTGAAAGTTGTTTTTTATTATTCATATATTATCAAGCAGGCCTCTGATGACCTGTGGAATTATAAATACCAGCAGACATTTCCAAGGGGTAGGCACACAGGTCAACAGAACTAAACTACAGTGATCTTCTCTTAGATTCTTTTCTACTGAGGTGAATAGCTCAAAAGACAAAGATGCCTTTAGTTCAGGCTAACCCCTGTAGCCTCTCTGCAATTAACACAGGAAGAAAGGCCCTCCTCCCTGCCAGCACTGGCGCTCAACAGTGGACTGAGTGTTTGGTAGCGTACATTTCCAATCTTAATAGAGCAAAGCCAGGCTTCTGCTTTGATTACTGAGCTACAGGGACAGGAGTGGTCCAAGGTTCTCAAAACACTGATGTTCTGTTTTTGTTTTTTTTTCCCCCCAGACTTCTATACTATTGTCTGCCCTAGGCTGTAGGGAATACAGGTTAGTTTGCTGAACAGACACTCTGTTCAGCAGGGTTTGTGGTATCTCAAATCCCAGGTCTCAGGCAAAGCTTTGCAGTTCACCCTGACTCCAGGGAAGAGGGCCTCTTTTCGGGGTGAGGCACTTGGGTTCTTGCCCTTGCTTCTTCCCAGTGAGAACTGTTTCCTCCTACTTCTACAAGCACTGTACTGCCAGCTGAGAGCACTGACTCCGGCGGGGCACCCTTACCGAGCAAGCAGGGGGCATTCAGCATGCTCTCTGGTTCTGACCCTGACAGAGGGGACTGAAAATAAACCCTCTTTTGCCCTGTGGCTGACCCACCGGCTCAAAGAGAGCACTAGGACTGGCTGTGCCTCATGAGAGAAGGAGAGAGAGAGAGAGGCTCTCTGGTCCAGAAGTGTTTCTGGGAGGGTTTGCCAGCCTTGTCTTGAGCCATCAGTGTGGCAGGGGAGCACAGGGGTGTAAGTGGAGACACTCTGGAGGCCACATGAAAGTGGCAGCTAGCTGTACTTTCGAAAGAGAAGCAATGGTTCAGTGACCCTGAGCATTCTGTCTGCAGGAGGGAGCTGCCTGGACAGCAAGTCATCACTGCCTCTGAATACACGCAAAGGAAGCTGCCTGTCCATGGAAAGAAGAAAACGTTTAGGGAAGAGAAAGATCTGGTAAAAGAAAAGGCACAGACAGGGTAGAGCCAGGAATCAAGAATCAGGGTAGTGAAGAGATTCCTAACCCTGCCCTCCAGGCAGTTCTATACTGTAGGCTAGATGTTAACAGAGCCAAAAAAAAAAAAAAAAAAAAAAAAAAAAAAAAGAGAGAGAGAGAGAGAGAGAAGGGGCACAACACTGTGGGGAGAAGCCTTCTAGTTTTTACTCATTTCAAGAAGAAACTGGAACTAATTAATGAATGGACCTAATATCTAGCTTACTTCATTAAGACTCCCAATAACTCAGTAACATTCTCAAGCCCCTGGCAACATGTGTTCAGATCCCTTCCAATGTGAAGTTCGCTGTTAGAAGCTGCCTATAGATCCTGTTCCTCAACCTCTCCATCTCATGTCCAGCAGTGGACAGGAAATTGGCGACCCAACTAATTCCTCCTCTCCTTCAGAGTTTTTTCAAACATCCCTCTTTGGGAGGGAAATACTCTAATAGTTTAACGTTCTAAGCAATGTATATATGTATATATATTTTATGTTTGACCCGACTCCACCTCCTAAAATCCTCCCCTTTTTTTGGATGTTTGGATGTGCTACAGCCATCTTATTACTACGAGGGGAGCAACAAATATCCTGAAGATGGCAGAGCAGAAAGAGGAAAGAATTGTGATGAGCAGCTCATGGAATCCTCAAAATTCTATGAGCTGCTGTTTTTACCAATTCTGGAAACACCCAACTTCAAGACTTCTTGATACATGAACTAAGAAATCTCCTTGTTATTAAAGAAAAAAAGAAAGAAAAGAAAACCCTTCCCCAGCAGAGACCATTTTTACGACAAACTCAAAACGTCTCTTCTTTATCCTCAGCCTAAACTATATGTTGTGACATTGAATTAGCATTGCCAAACACCACAGCCACTTCTTACCCCGAGCCAGGAGAGAATGCAAGCATGCTGTGTGGTGGAGTTTGAAGTCCTCACTAGGTAGGCAGCTGCACGTCTGATCATGGCAAGAGGTTCCTCTTGCTTCACTTCCCTCGTCCTTACATTCATACATGCTAAATCTCTCCTCCGACAGTTTACCTGCTTTAGAAGCTTTGTGTCAAATGAAGTTGCTTTTCCATTCCATCTGGCAAAAGCCTGGGCTGAAGATAATTAACAGGGGACTGCCCAGAAGATTCTGTTTTATCTCTAGCTCAAGCCGCCTACTTCAAAGCTCACAACAGCTCAAGGAAAGACAGCTATCTGGAGCAAAGACCATTCGTTTAAGGTTACAGAAAGGTTGTCTAGGCTTTGGAAGCTGGACACTGAACAAAGACTGACCAGCTGCTTGCCTGGGAGGCAATAAGAGAAAGAAGGGTGATAGCAACAAAGTGAAAAGGAGGACAATGGGCCTAGAAGAGAGAGAGGATAAGAGAAGAAATAACATCAGCTTAACGTCATAAAGGCAGAGTTGTTGGCTTTCAATACTTTTGTATTTTAAAAGAATACTGTACTGGAATGGGTTGACATCGTCATCTTTAGCATCCTGGTAGCATTATTCAGTAGTTAATAAACAGACATTAAAACCTCTGCCTGGCTGGCTTTTGTAAAAGGAACCTGAGGGACTCCAAACTCAGCCACTCTTGTAGCTTCAGTCTCCGGTTCTTTTAATGCTGGCCAAGGTGGAGGCCTTGGAGACTTTCTTCCGGTCATAGGCCAGACCCAGGGAGGCCATGCAATCAATGAAGAATGTGGTGAAGCTGATGTGCCAGCAGTACTCACTGGCAGAGTAGTCATAGGGAAAGGAGTGGTGGTACTCGTGGAAGCCCTCACCAACAGCTCCAGGTGAAACCAGGACATTCTCCCGGGGGCTAATGTTCTTGTCATAAGGACGATATCCGAAGAGGTGAGCAGCACTGTTCACCAGCCAGGTGGCATGAAGCACTACAGCATACCGCAAGAAGGTGGCAATGAACAAGCTGTGTTGAAAAGTTTCACCCCAGAAACACCAGGGCACAAGCGTGGGCAGGGTGAAGCACATATCAGCAGCAAACCGGGGTTTGTAGTACCTCCTCTGGAACATCACCAGTTTCTCGGCTTCTAGATCAGACAAGTCTAGCGTACCACCCTTCTCCTTGACAGCTGAGTGTTTGCACAGCCAACCCACGTGAGAGAAGACAAAGCCATGTCTGGAATTACGAGGATCAGCATGTGTTTCTGAAAACTTGTGATGGGCACGGTGGTCGTGAGCCCATTCATAGATACCATTCTGGAATGCCATTGTGTTGGCAATGATCAGAAAGAGCCGTAGGGGCAGCCGAGCTTTGTAAGAGGGTTGGCTCCACAGAGGATGAGCTCCTGCTGTTATGTCCAGGGCCCTGACAAAATAGTAGAATAACCCCCAAAGCCAGGAGTAGAACTTGCAGGTAGGAATCAAAGTGATCCCAAACAGGGCACCCAAGTGTAGCAGAGACATAAGGATGACGTTTCTCCAGACATAATTAACCTTGGGGCTTGGGCCTTCCTTATCATTATAGGTGGGGTCATATATATCATCTTTTATACCAGGGCGAATGTCTTCTTCCAAGTAGAGGGGCATCGTCTCCAACTTATCTCCCCCATTCTGCAGGACCCTGGAGGGAGGCGCTGTGATGGTGGTAGTGGTGGTATGGGAGCTAGAGATAACTCCGTCCCATGTTCCCGCCCCCCAGGCGTGTTGCAGGGGGACGTGGCCGCCTCCCCGGGATCGGGAGCTCTGGGGACGCAGGAAGCCTTGCCTCCCTCCCGGGCGAACGCCGGGTGCTGGGTACCTATGTTAGTACTTTGAAGAATATGAAGACTTGCCTGGCCCAGCATATGATCAGTTGTGTTATACATTCTATGTGAACTTGTAAAGAATGTGAATTCTATAACTTAGATGTAAGTTTATTAATACAGATCAACTTTGTTAGTAATGTTCAAGTCTACATCTTGATTGATTTTTAACCTGTTTTATTATTTGCAAAGAGAGATGTGTTAAAATCTCCAATTATGGCTGTGAATTTGTTTTTTAGTATTTGTTTTACCTAGAGAAAGACAATGTTAGTAGGTACATAAAAGTCTAGAATTGCCATATCATTCTAGTGACTCAAAGTTTAATTAGGAAATATTCTTCTTTATTGGTAGTAATGCTTCTTGCCACTGTTAGTACGAGCTTTCTTTTAGTTAGTTTTTGAACACTATTTTTCTTTCATCCTTTTACTTTTGGTCTTTTATTTCAACTTAAGAAATGTCTTTTGTAAGCAACATAGGTTTTTAAATTTTTGTTTTAAATCCAGTCTGAAAATCTTTGTTAGTGTTTTCAGTCTATTTACATTTACTGTAAGTACCATTATATTTGAGTTCAAATCTGCCACACTACTCTCTGCATTCTATTTATCCACCTTTGCTGTGCTCCTTTTTTCTTGCCTTCTCTCAGATTAAGTATTTTCTTATTATTTATATTTTCTGCCTTGTTAGACTGATAATTATATATTATTCTTTTAGTGGTTACTCTAATGGTTACATTGCTGACTCATTAAAGTGTAATAGAAACTAATACTCAGCATTTCTTAGACAATGCAAACACATTGGAACATATTAACTTGATGTATACCATTCCTGCTTTTTGTGTTATTAAAAAGTATTTTAACTCCTTAAAACATTGTTTATATTGTTTTATAAAGTCAATATTTATGCAGATTTATGTTTATTATGTAGTCTTACCGTTGTTTTTCACTTCCGATATATCTCTGTGCTGCCATGTTGGATCATTTTTCTATGAGCAGATCCTTATAGCATATCTGAAATATTTACTGACACAATTACTGACATAAGAGTACACATTAAGAAATGAATATGGGCTGGGCACGGTGGCTCACACCTGTAATCCCAGCACTTTGGGAGGCCAAGGTAAGCAGATTACCTGAGGTCAGGAGCTTGAGACCAGCCTGGGCAACATGGTGAAATCTCATCTCTACTAAAAGTACAAAAATTAGCTGGGCATGGTGGCACACACCTGTAATCCCAGCTACTCGGGAGGCTGAAGCAGGAGAATTGCTCGAGTCCGGGAGAAGGAGGTTGCAGTGAACCGAAATCATGCCACTGCACTCCAGCATGGCCGACAAAGCAAGGTTCTGTCTCAAAAAAAATATATATATATAAAAAAGAAATGAATATGAAATATAGCAGGGATACAGAAGACAAGTAAGTTGGGAAGTGTTAAATTTGAAGAATTGGAAGGAAGGTCAAACAGAAGCTTATTTATAAGAGAGCTTCTTATTTCTTCAGACTGACAACTGGCTTACAGGTTTAAGACTCCTAACCCATCCAGTAATAAGAGTCAACGTTAAAACTTTTAGGTGAAGCTTAAAATTGGTAAGACGTTGACTTTGAACCGTGAATGGAGTTGGTCCAATGACAGTCTTTTAGATGGGATGCTGTGTTTGGAGTACAATTATTCCATTCAGATTGCTCTCTTCCCTCTACAATTTATGCATAAGCACAGAGGAGGAAAAGCCTGTAATGAAAAAAAAAAAAAAAGAAAAAGAAAAAAAAGAAAGAAAAAGAAAAAAAAGGAAAAACAAAGAGGCAGTGTATATTTTTTAGATTCTTTTAAGGTATGGATTCTGAGACAGACAATCCTAAAGTTTGAATCTCAGCTTTTATACTTCCAAGCTATTTTGTCTTAATTAATTATCTCTGCCTCTTTCTCTCTATGATCTTTTCATTTCCTCAGCTAGACAACGAATATAATGAGAGTGCTTATCTTATTGGGTTCTTGTGAGAAATAAATGAGATTATCTTTAAAAGTGGTAAGTCCATGCGTTGCACTTAGTAAGAGCTCAATAAATATTAGCTGCCCACACTCATACAGTCTTTCAGGGAGATTGATGACACAGGGCAGCATTTCATCATGACAATTATATGAATACAATGTTTTATAGAATGTATGTGCAGAAGGAGACATTTCCACCCAGTTTGGCATAATGCCTGTTAAGAGAAACAGGTAAGTACAGTAACAGCCACACTAAGATCAGAAAGAAGTGGTAGAAATGACCTGAGTAATGGCTGCCAATAGGAAAACAGAAATAGTATAGGAAGAAATGTTGGGCACATCAAGGTAGAAGAAGAAAAGGGAAAGGTTATGCTTCCTCAGCATGAGGTACCCTAAACCCAGGAAGGAGGGGTTGGGAATAAGTTTTATAGACACTCTGCTGGTGGAGTTGAGCAAGGGAGTATTTTTTTGTTGTCAATGCCATTGTTTCCTTTTTGTATCCTTCAGATTAGTGGAACCAGAGAGAACATCAGATTACACAGTATTATGTATAAGTATGACCTTAATACATAGCAGAAGAAGCCTAGTATAGCAGCAGAAGGCTTTTTCTTCTTTGGGTTCATGTGTACAGTCTAGAGAGAAAGAGGGCAATCTGAAGAAGAAGACCCTAATACACAGAGAAGAACTCAAATACATACAGTGGATGGTACTGGTGTCCTTCTCAGATCCCTTTAACTGCCTAGTGCACCCATGTACCAGTCGCTATGTGCATCAGCTGTTATCAACTCACAACCACCCCCTTCTCCCAAGACTTGCAAAATGGAAGCTGTCTCACCTAGAAGGCTATTTCTCACCCAGACTTGTGCTGACTGGCTGGGTCCTTTCCCCAACATGGAACTAACTTATTTGTCTAATTTTCACTCAGAGTACCCCACTGTGGTCTCAGGATGAAACTAGCTTCTGAAAGCACCTTTCTGACCTGTTCTGCTCCTACCGGTTCCCTTTCTGTAAGACATCACTTGAACAAGAATCCTAATCTCAGGATCAATTTCGAGGAAGCCCAACCTATGACAAAAAGAAATACAAAAATAAATCCTAGTAGCTTTGAAGACAAATAAACATCATCAGAGAAGTTTATTTTTACAGGCTCCGGACCAAATGCTCTGTATCATTCACCACATAGAAATATTCTAAAAACATATTTTATGGATATTATTTCTAATCTTTTTTTGCAAGGTATTAAAAATGTCTTTTGCTTTTTCTTATTAATAGCAATCTCTCATCCATATTCTGCTCTGCACTTCAATTCACCACAGTCATGCTGCCCACTTTCTGACTGATAGTGATAGCATAGGTATCTCCACAGCTTTGTCTAGTAATGATAATAATAACAGTAAGTGCTGACATTTCTTGAACACTTGTACATCCCAATAGCTGTTGGAAGTACTTACATAGATTAACTCATTTAATCCTCAAAGTGGCCCCACGAGATAGGGATCATTATTGTCCTTGTTTTGAAGAAGAGGAAATTAAAGCACAAAGTTTTTTTTTTTTTTTTTTTTTTGAGACGGAGTCTCCCTCTGTCGCCCAGGCTGGAGTGCAGTGGACGGATCTCAGCTCACTGCAAGCTCTGCCTCCCGGGTTTACGCCATTCTCCTGCCTCAGCCTCCCAAGTAGCTGGGACTACAGGCGCCCGCCACCTCACCCGGCTAGTTTTTTGTATTTTTAGTAGAGACGGGGTTTCACCATGTTAGCCAGGATGGTTTCGATCTCCTGACCTTGTAAAGCACAAAGTTTTTAAAGGCAACTTCTCAAGGTCACATAACGCGAATAGAGGTGTTAGGTTAGTCCAGTCCAGACTTTCTGAATACAGAGATCATGTTTTTAACCACTAGTTTCCTACATCCACCCACTCCCACCGACTCTACAACATCTGAGGTGATATAATGGCTCCACACTCTCTCAGTTCTCTGTTACTTCCCATGGAGGAAAATACATTAGTTGCCCATATGATATACAGTCCTCATCTCACCCAGAAAAATTTTCTTGTGAAAAAAATAAGAGCTTATTATGGGAGATAATATGTATGTTATCTTACATGACAAAAGAGAATTTGCAGATGTGATTAAGTTAAAGACCTTGAGATTAAGTGATTATTCTGAATTATCTGGGTGGTCCACTGTAATCACAAGGATCCTTAAAAAAGGAAGTGGGGAGCCAGATTCAGAATTTATTAGACTTTTAACCTTCAGAACCAATTTGTGTTTTAAGCCAGTAAATTTGTATTAATTTATTACAACAGCAATAGAAAATTAATGCAGAGACTGAGATAATGCATGTAAGATGATTTACCATGGTACATAACTGGAACATAGACCTAGTATCCAACTATTAGATATTATTATCATTGCTGTTTTTATTTATTATTAATGATATCATTTTGAATGTCTGAGAAGTCTTCAAAGAGCAGTTGTAGCCTAACTTGGTCATTAAATACTGATGAACTAAAAACAATGGGAAGTGCCTGGTAAAAGGAACAATGTTGGCAAAAATATGGTAATGGAATAACACAAGGTTTGCTGAGAAGCATGTTTTGGAGATCCTTCAATGACAAACTTTATGCAGTTGGAAGCCTTTAGACTTAGTGATATGTTGGAAGCTTTGTTTTCAAGAATTTAATCTGATGGGTAATTGACACTGGGCAAAGTTCAAGAAAAAGACACTGACTCCAGTACTGAGATAAGAGCAAGAATTACAGAAATATAGTGGAAGAAGAAATAATGGGATAGATAGAGTATGAACTTCCTGAGGGCTGGGCCTCTGTATCACACATTTTTTGGGAACACCTAAGAGTGTGACAGTATTGATTGTGAAATATATACTAGTTTAACAAGGAAAGAAACCATTTAGAGAAAGGCTAAATAAGATGTGACTTATGTCTCCAAGTTCTGGGATAATATCTAGTATCTTTCTTTTAGCCTCAGTGTCTAGGAGAGTGTTTCCACTAATGCTCAAAAAAATATTTATTTTGGATGGGTTTTAGGCTTTTATTTCAACTCCGTAATGAACTAAAGCTCTGTAAAGAGGCAAGAATGGGAGATACTTGAATTGTCAGTAAAGAGATAATTGAATTAGTAAATGTGAGTAAACAAAACCTTAAAATATAGTCCATATGGGAAAAACTCTGGATGATCCAGCAATTGCTATAATTGCCCAGAGTCTGAATCTCAAACTTCTTACTCCTTGACCAGTGTGTGCATGTTATACCACAGTTGTCTAAATGACTAATAATTATTAACAATATTTATCTTTTAAGCTGCAAGCCAGAAAATATATCTACCTTCAACCTTGTTGTGATTGTTAGTTAGAAAATGTTTCTAATTAATGTAAATCTTAAGGAGGCAGATACTGAAGAAGTGAAAGTACTTGGGATAATAATGTAGAAAAAATTAAGATACTGTTGTTGTATTAGCAAGGATTTATATGCTTTTATTTGTTCCCAGCAAAAGAATCATTATCTCCCCCCACTCATTAAATCATTTGATTGCACACTTGGTATTTTAAGAGTTCCCAAATGTCATGCAGTTTTAACATAATATTTGTTTGTGTGTGTGTATTTCGGGAAAGGTGTGCTTGCTAATAAATTTAAGACAGCATGGCTGCATTTCATATGGCACCTAACCTCAGTCCTGTGAAATATTGTCATGGTTACCTGCAAAGCAGCAGGATGTATGTGGGTGAAAGATGAGGTTCAAACAGTATAAGAATAGGCTCTTTAACAGAAACCAGATTATGGACAAAGAGAGGAAGGTGGAGGAAGGTGGAGGAAGGTAGGAGGAACTGTGAGCAGACCAATGATCAGCTGTTTTTGTACTAATGCATTGACTAAATAATTTCTTTTCCGTAGTCATGACCTAATAATTATTAGTTTCAAATGGTTGCATCTCAGAGACTGTGTCCTTTATGGAAGTTGCTCCACAACAAATTGGAAGAAAGTGGGAGTGAAATTATAAATTATCAAAGTAAGGGAATTATTTAAGGAAAAGATGAGTGTGTTCATTAGGACACAGGGTGGTCCCCGTACTTCAGGCATTTGGAGATTATAGAAACACTGAATAATCCAGCTTGTAAGCTTTAGTACATTTACCTAGACTCTTTAGCCACTTTTGTGTTTTTAAACTGCTTTGCAATGATAATTTGTTGTTCATAAGCCTTCTTCCTAAAAAAACCAAAATTTCTTTCTATGGTTATTAAAAGTCTTCATTATTGCCTAGATTTGTCAAAACCTAGGTTGATTTGACTTATTTGTAAAAAGTTACTCATTATTTCATTCTGTTCCCTACTTTTCAGCAGCTTGGTTAAAGTGTAATATTCTCTTATTATTTTTACACTTCTCTATGAATTTAGAGGAGAGAGAAAATGGCTAAAAAGAGACGGCATTTTTAAAAGCATAGATAGTTCAGTAATAAACTTAACAACACATCTGTGTAGCTCTTAGCAAATACCAACCTAGGCTGTGGAGCAACAACAACAAAAAAAACGTCAGTCACATGCACAAAACAGAAAAAAAGACAAAGTGATGAGCCCCATGTGAAGCGGAGGAGCAAAGGGATTTGGGACTAAAGAAGACTGAGCAATTAAAAAGAGACTAAGCTATAAAAAAAGATTATTCAAACCAAACTCCGACACAAGCTTGTTTACTATTCACATAATGAATATGAGAATTGATACTTAAAACAAGTTTCTGAACATTCCCATTAGGGATAACATAAAACTAAGGACATCCTGTCACCCAAAAAAAGCAACACATTCTTTTTGAAAGATATAGACTCCTTGAATCTGGTGATTCCATCTTAATTTACCTACTCTTGTAAATAATCTCGGATGAATATTTTATAATCGTGAATGACTCGATAAAATGAAAACAAGTTTGCCAAAAAATATACAACTTCAGAAAATAGAATCTGATTTGTGAAGATACTCTTTCCACGAAGTTTAACTTTTTTTCGAGTATATATTTTAGTACTATTATTTCTGCAGTTTAAATTGATGCTAAAGGTGTATAGAAATGAAACTGGTAAGAAAAAAGCGACGTTTTTGTTTTTGTTTTTGTTTTTGTTCTTCATTCCCAGAAGAAAAGCCTCAAGCTGCAACAGGGCAGTTTTTCTCCAGGGTCCAATGATAACAGAGCCAATTATGTTGTGTGATGTATTCACCACCCTTGCAATTCTCCTACATGCATACATAAAACTCTGCACATGTATGTGTCAGAATTTACTAATATGTTTTCCAAATATTTCTTCATCCATCAACAGAACTGTACACTCAAAAGGAAGTAGAAACTAAAATGTGCTTCATTAGCTTTTCAAATAATGTTAAATTTACAGACATGTTCAAGAGCAGGCTGCTGTCTCAGATTAAGCCAGACTCTTCAAGGTAAGAACCAATAAAGGTAAATATTTTCAGTTGATGATACAATTTTATTCTTTAAAAAAAAAAAACTAGTCCGGGCGCAGTGGCTCACACCTGTAATCCCAGCACTTTGGCAGGCCGAGGCAGGCAGATCACGAGGTCAGGAGATCGAGAACATCCTGGCTAACCCGGTGAAACCCCGTCTCTACTAAACATACAAAAAAATTAGCTGGGCATGGTGGCGGGCGCCTGTAGTCCCAGCTAGCTACTCGGGAGGCTGAGGCAGGAGAATGGCGTGAACCCGGGAGGCGGAGTACCACTGCACTTCAGCCTGGGTGACAGAGCAAGACTCCATCTCAAAATAAATAAATAAATAAAATAAAATAAAATAAAAAATTACAACTGCCTTTTTGTGTCTCTGTATCTCACCAGCACAAACAAACAAACAAACCCACTAACTTTTACAAGTCAAAATCTAAGATCTCATTTGCAGCCCGTTGACCCAAAATCCATAGCATTGTCGTGAACATGCTGTGAACAAAAGCCAATACATACATCACTGTATACTACATGCTCTCTGGTTCTCATAATGGGAAAAAGATTCAGGAAGCAATACAAACATTTGCAAAGGAAAGAATCCTTATGATATTTTGGTGTGACTTGTCTTTAAAGTGAATTGAGCTGTCATTCTTTTATTTTTTTTCCTATAAATAAAACATTACTGTTTTAATGCCAGCTGGGTTTTCCTCCTCAGAATATAACTTATAATGGAAAAATAATTCTTTTTTTTTGGAGAATAATTATTTTCTTGTTCAATAACTCTAAGCCTTCTAATTCTTGCTTTGTCGTTCTAGAACATACATCGGTAAGCATTCTATGATAACCAGAAGAATATTTGTAAACATATTAATAAATGTTTTGCCATAGATTTAGAGCTATAATTTTAGGGTGAAAACCATTTAGAAATCTCTCAATTTTACTGATATATAGTTTGAGGTCCACAAATATTCAGTGGCCAAGATCTCCTGTGAGGGTCAGAAAAGACAGTAAGACAGATCTTATGAAGGACTTTTGTTTCTTATTAGAGGGGGGAAAACACTTGAATCAAATATTTGGTTACATGTTTTTTTTTTTAAAGGCAGCAATAGTCCTTAATGGTTCTGAGTCTGCAGGGTAGACTGGAAACTTAATCTTCTCTCTCTCCCCAGTGATGTTGATAGAATTTTTTAAAACTAGTATATGCACAAAGAGAACAAAAAGGTGTGGTATCATCAGGCAAGAGGTTTTATCAAATGTCTGGAAGACAGAAACTGGATTGAAGAATGCCAACAAATACAGCAGGCTGTGGGAATCCATTGTACAATTACCACAGAGGAAATGAAGAGGAGGGAGTCCAGGTTTGAACATGGAAATGTCATATATTACTGAGCACCAGGCACTTTACACCCCCTCCTCAAACCTCCACATGCAGAACAACCTGCTGCCAGCATGTACCCAGTGAAACATCCAACAGAGTACAGTTCTCTAAATGATTCAAAAGAGCCCTCTGGTAAGAAGTAAAGAACGAATTTAATTGTTGGCACCCTCGTTTAAATCTCCTTTAATTCTAGAATGTAAGGCATATCTGAAATAAAAGCCAGGTATCTGACTCATTACCCTTAAGAATCAGCCAACATACTCTGTTAATGTACAAAGAGAGCACTTTTTTCCTATTATTTATGAACCAATAACCCAAGATATTACTCATATTATCATTATGGATTGATAATTAAAATGTTTGAGGCTGGGCACGGTGGCTCAAGCCTGTAATCCCAGCACTTTGGGAGGCCAAGATGGGCAGATCACGAGGTCAGGAGATCGAGACCATCCTGGCTAACGCGGTGAAACCCCGTCTCTACTAAAGAATACAAAAAACTAGCCGGGCGCGGTGGCGGGCGCCTGTAGTCCCAGCTACTCGGGAGGCTGAGGCAGGAGAATGGCCTAAACCCGGGAGGCGGAGCTTGCAGTGAGCTGAGATCCAGTCACTGCACTCCAGCCTGGGTGACAGAGCGAGACT